ATACCCTCCGCAGCGGCAAGGCAGGCAACGGGTGGTTTCGGGGGTTCGTGGAGCGCTGCCATGGGCTCGCTCTTCGTAGACCCCAGGGTATTGTCCCTACGCGCGTCACGACGATCGGTGAAGCGAGAGTGACACGCTTCTTCGGCCACTGCCAAAAGTCGTCCTGGAGAATAATTTCTCTCCGGGATCACTTTGGAATATGGATGAGATAGGAACATCAATGAGCAGAAGTGGGGCGAAGTGTTGACCGCTTTGGGTGGCCGTGAGGTGCTAACATCAGCGCTGGACGTGGGAGAACAGCCTACACGTGGCGGCGGCGAATGCCGGTGGAAACTATTTCTCACCTGCGCTCATCCAACCACGGCTGAGGATGAAGGGTGCTCTCGCTGGTTCACTCGGGCTCTGTTGAAAGTCAGGCTGAACTGAGTTAGGTCTCTTCGTAACAGGGCTGAAACACTTCAATGCGTGCAGCCATGCTGACAAGAAGAGCATTAAACTGCTGCTCTTGGATGGGTACCGCACGCACGAACCAGTATAAGTTGTCACCTACACCGTTGACAACGGCATCGAGGTAATCACTAATCTGGACTTTCTGCTATTGAGAATGCATACGATGGATAACCACGACCAGCGACGATTTCTATCCACTGAGTAAGTGGAGCGTGGGTGCCGACACAGTCTGGGTAAACGAAAAATGGCTCAACACCTGGCGCAGTCGATGCACGTCGCGCCTTGCTGGTTCTCACTCAGCAGGGCAGGGGAAGTCATGCATGGTCGGCGGAGATCGAATACACTGTACCCTGTGCATGACAGTGGCTCCATTTTCGCCATCCTTGCGGGTCATTCTTGACCTAGCGCCTGCTCCAGATTGTCCACCGTGGTACACGGACATACAGAGCCCTTTACTGATTTCTCGAACTCTGGGCTCAGACGGCTGCTCTGACGACTCATCGCGACATCGTGTACTTAAGGTGAGCAATTGGACCGAAATCATTTTTGAAATTTGTATCGAACCTGTTTAAAGTAAGACCGTGTCTGCGGCTCTATTGCTCCGGGCGCTGGTTGGCGAAGCGGCGATTCCGGGACAGGGTGACCACTCGCCAGTTGATGTCATGGCCTGCGAGGGAGCCCGTACAGAAAAATCTGCCGAAGTCAGGCCTGCACCAAAGACCTCTCACCAAGATTGTTCCATTTGTTAACCAACTACAGCATCGAAGTGTTCGGAACGGATGCAGATATCCACTTTAAACATGCTATTGGTGTGCATGGCTACTGCCTCAATGATATACGTTCTGGTGGTTAGATCCAGTTTCGTTTTATGGGGCGCCCTATTTTTGTGCAATTTACAGCACGATTACCTGCCTCAGCTTGCAACCCGGCTCAATATGATTGAAGTCCGTGGCAACAGGTGGCACCGCCACGTGGCTGGGGTAAGCTGCCGATCGCCTTCCAGCGATGCTGATCTACCCGTCTCTTGGCGGAAACGCTTTCCGCTCTTGAGCTGCGCTGTGGGCTGGATGCTGAAGCGATGTGGCCGTGAAGCCGTCGCGTGTCGCAATCATTAAGCTTCCACAACAGGGGATGTAGAACCGGAAAATAGTCTGGGGGCTGAGGTGGAGAAGTAGCTAAAGCTTCTCTAAAAAAAACAGCAAAAAAAACAGATATATCCCTCAATTTGACTCACCTCCCCTCAAAGTTGGGCTGGTTGGAGTCACCCCAACTTAACGAGAAAACACAGCCCGGCTCCACCACGCTATCACGCTTTGTCCCGGCAGAAACTGTTGTCGCAGGGCATCATTTGTATTGTATTGGGCGTCGATGGTCAAAGCAGGTTTCGGTTATCAACATGGGTTCGATGTCACGTATGTTAGGTTGGTTGCAATAAGTTGCATGTTGTTAGACGTGTACAACGTCGGGAGAAAGGAGTGTTAGTTGATATGGCGCAACTTAGATGCTGCCACGAAAACACACAACCGAGAGCTGCAAGGTGGGCTGCAGGCTGGAACGCAGCACAGGTGTCGAGCATGTTCGACACGGCTTCTGTTCCTTTGGTGGTGGTCGTTGTTGGGCAATTACCATCTCAGCATCTCAAGGGTTCTCCCGAACGGAGATGGCCGGATGGTTTGTCACGTCTCACGGTGTAATATATTTACGGTTTGTTTTCATTACCACGCGCTCGGGCGTGGGCTTCATTAAACCCACCACCCTCTCCGAAGGTATTCCGGAATGGTTTCCGAACGGTGCGGCGTAGCTGCGCCACATTTTGCATAGTTGTAGACAATTGAATACCAGATCGTGTGATATTAAAAATTTAGATGCACCTTGTAATGTCGCTACCCTGTGGCAGGTGAAAGTCAGGCCATGAATTCTGCGAAGTCCATGTCTAGGATATCAAATATCGCAAGTGTGGATGACTCATTTACACACTATACTTTCCATAGCGGCCTCGACAGATTCCAAGCTGCATGCGATATCTATATATAAAAGCGGGCTTGATTAATTGTAAACAAATTGTTGAAACTTAAAGCGGCTCTTAAATGTAGCAATTACCTGTGAACTATGTTCCGACAGTGGCGAATCTAGAGGCTGGACAGGGGGCAATGATCTTGGTTTTCGAAGGTGCCGGCTGAACAGACGCAGCATATTAACACAAACTGCACATAGCGGACATTTTTGGGCCTCCAGGTGAACGGGAAGAGCCACAGGCAACAAATTAAGGGCCCATGAATGGACCGATTAAGAGATGTTGGTTCGAGAGGTTCTAGGGTTCATTACGCCATCTATGAGCCCTAAGCTGTTGCCAAGGCCCATATCTGTCCACTTGCGGAAGCTCTTGGATCGCTGAGGGACCTTGCACGCTGCGCTTTTTTGTATTTGCTTGAAGAACCTTATGCTGTTGTCCGGGCCCGATTTGCTAAACTGACGGGGCGCTCTTTTTTATCAGGGGCCCTGCACTGATTCTTCCCATTCGCCCGAAAAGGTCTTTACGCTGCTAACGGGGCCACCATATGTTAACCTTGTGTGGTGCTGTCGGCTGCTCAGGGGCCGTTCGCATTGGTGTCGGGTTGCATCCACTTGCTCAGGGGTCTATTCTGTCGCTGGAGCATATAATTCAATCTAGGCAACCTAATCTAGGCACTCGATTCTCAGGAGTCCTCTACTATGTCCTAATGATTTTCAATTTGGTCCCACTTGCGGAGGACGTTACGGTCCGCAAGGTCGTCGGGGCCTTTTTGTAAGAGTGCCCAGGTACTTTTGACCACTTAGAGGCCCGCCACATTGATCATGAATGCTCCACATTCACTCAGAGGATGCTGCGCTGTTTTCAGTGTCCCGTACGTCCATCTTTCAAGGCACTCCCGATCTCTCAACAGCTTTCCACATTGGTCATAGGCTGTTCCCGTTTACTCGGAGGACCTGCGCAGCGGCCGGTGGTGCTGTATGCTAAGTTGTCAAGGCACTCCCGATAATCCCGATCGCTCATGGCCCCCCACATTGGTCTTGGGTTCCTCTCGCTTGCTCAGAGGACCATCCTCTGTTGATGGGAGCATCGCTGTTGACCTGCCGCGGCACGGGTCACTATTTTTTCAGCATTAGGAAGCAATGTTAGGTCGCTAAATAGCTGTTGGGAAAACCGTTGGCGTTATGTTCACTTGGAGACTTTCATTTAACACACGCACACAAATATTGTACCAATGTGGATGTCTGAAGGTGTGACTACCTAGCTCAGCAGCATTGAACTAGACATGACATGGCATCTGTATTTTTTTTCGCTCTAATTTTTAAACGTACCCTATGATATATAGGGTATGACATGCCCTTCTTTAAAGAGGGTGTTTTGCTTATGCACATGCTCCAGATGGCCGGGAAGAACCCGCCGTTGAAGGGCCCAGATCAGGCGCTGGGTGGCTGCGCTATCAAGTATCACTATCAAGTATCAAGTACCAAGTATCGCTACCAAGTATCAAGTAGGCTATCAAGTACCACTCATGGCGTTTGTGGAAGGATGTAAACTTTGGGCTTGCAACTTGATACGAAATGATCCGTTCCATGTCCGAGACAGCCAACTCCGCGAGTGTGAAACATATCATCCCGGCGAACGATGTTGACTGCCGCGTGCTAACAGAATCCGAGCAAGCACGAACTGAGAATTCCTTTGCTGGAAATGTAGCCTTAATATACCAGGAGGTGTCACCGACGTCACGTGTCAAACTTTTTCATCAGTCACGCAACTGATCGAGAATATTCGATGTTTTGAAGCTGTTGCTACGGTCATGGTACAGCTTTACTCGCAGAGTCTGTCTGCAACATTTATACATCAAATTACTTGGAAAATGCTAAGCAGTTTTTTGATGGCATCAGGTGATATAACTGAGGTAAAATATGGCTCCCGTCGGGAGTGTGCATTGCAATACATTTCTGAAAGCTGCGCTGAAACATCTACCGCTTCCACGACGAAATGCGTTGTTGATTTCAACGTAACGTGTATAAAAACGTTTTACATGAACCGAAAGAAGAAACACCTGATTTTAACGTAAATGAAGAACAAAGGCAATCTCAAATCTGTGAAGAAGAGCGCGAAGCAGCACCACAAAACGGCCAGCACTACATCACTGCTCAACGAGCGACCCATGCAAATAAACGGCGGCGACAACAAAACGATGCCAGATCTTCCTGGTCGGTGAGAGTTGCTGCCAGGAACGTTGTATGCCCAAAGCAGCCTTCACCTATGCTGTCTTTCCGAGGGATCAATTTTTCACGCTTGCGATTAGACAAAACCCCATGAGGGCAATCGAAGTACCGCCAACAGCGTGACGGGGCACGTAAGCGATGTTTTGCACATCAACTCTCAATCACGTTGAGAGAATATCCCTCACATGGCAGCTTTCAGGTGTAATGGCAAATACACACATATAGAGCGCATAACAGTGAGCACGAAACAAAAAAGCAAGCACTTTAGAACAGATAAGCAGCGAGCAATCTTTACAGAGAAACAGTTCTTAGATATACAGAAGACCGTAGGAGAACGTCGGGTGAGTTGAGCTGTAGGAGTACGAGACACCCTCAGGACCGTACGTGCCCTGGAACGTGACGGGAGCGCCGGAGGCAGCGTATATCTGAGGGTAGATACCGAGAGCGGCCGCATTGTACAGGCGGGCGTGCTCGGCCTTGGCAGCGGCCACCTCGGGGGTGTCGCTGACGGGCAGAGGAGCGCTACGCTTCTTGCGGTAGTCAGGGGCAGCGGCGGCGGCGGCGGCAGCCTTGGCGTACAGCTTGCGGAACTCCGCCTTGGCGGCCTTCACATCAGCCGTGTCCTGGACGGCGGCAGGTCCGGCCAGGCTGTACACGGACGCCTTCAGGTCGGCGGCGGGAGCCACCGGCACGTTGGTGCCCTGCACACGGAAGCCGGCCGCGTCCGCCACGTAGTTGACTGTCTGGGTCAAGCCGTTGGCGTCCACGTAGCTGTAAGAGCCGACGGTGCCGCCGTAGGCGTCCTTGCTCTCCGACTTGGTGCTCAGGCCGTCACTGTAGCCATAGCTGTATTCTCCAGTTCTGCTCAAGGAGTAGTGCTGAGAGCTGACACCGGCCGGGGCGGCGTAGGTTGTGTAGGGGGCAGCAGCGTTGATGGTGTAGGGGGCAGAAGTGTAGGTAGTGTAGGGGGTAGAAAACTTCTTCTGGTATCCGGCGGCGTACGGGTATCCCGAGTAACCAAGCCCGCTGTAAGGCAGGTACTGGGCAGCCGCAATGGCCAGAACAGCGGACACTACCACCTGAAAAAGACAGTGTGAGCTTTTCATGTGCAATTTTAAACAATTAAAAGGCAAGAAAACAAGGTTGGAAGAAAAGGAAAAAACAGTGGTGCTGCAGACGTCATTGGCAAGTAGGCCTCACACAATTTTTTTCAAGCTATGAGTACCGAAGGTAATGATGAAACAATGCGCTTTAAATAAAACTGCAAGGCAGCATCCATTTAAAGTTCGCAAGACACGTTCAAACATCTTAGGCATATTGTTACTCACTGTTTACATGCTACGATTGATGTTACGTATCCCGATGGCGAGACTGATGAGACAAACAAATGAGTTGACACTGCGTCAGATTTCCTTCGAAATGTTCGATAACTAGTAGAATTATACTCATAAGGACCCAAGCACCTGGTAGAGCAAAACATCTCATATCAATATATATCTATGACAAACGTGGCGACGCGGGGAACTCACCAGGACTTTCATGGCTGAACTCGCTGGTGTCTGTGATGCCTGTGGCCCAGCGTCGGCCAGTTATATACCAGCTGTAGCCGGTGCTGGCTGGGTGGAGCCACGCCCATGGCGACGGAAACGCTCACATGCCACTGGAGGTGTTACCCAGCCGGCCCCGGCGGTCAGCGGCGACCCCCGTACACCCGTTCACCAAGGTCGGGGAGGGGCCCGTCCCCTCATGCTAATCGCAGAGAGATGATGTTCCCGCTGAAGGGAAGTCTTGTTGCAAGGTAGCAACACAAGTAAATGAGACGCCTATTATTAACGGAAGATGGTAAGAGTCCCCGACTGATAAACTGCTGGGCGCGGAAAGCCACTGGGCGTCCATTACGGTAGCTGTCCTTGGAGAAGTCCGTTGCTGCCGAATGTTGCCGAGCAGTGTCAGTGGCCGACCGGCCTCGACTACCGTTGCAATCCCAACAGCGTCCGTCCCGTAATTTCATGAGGCCATGGAATGCATATCACATGTGTGCTTTGTTTTGTATACTATGTTGAGGAAGGAATTAATTGTTCGCCATGAAAAACGGCGCATGACAATCAAGTGCAAAAGCCATCGCAATCTCTTGAAATAGGATGCAAACAAGCGAAAGAAAATGTCCAGCGCCGCATCACTACTAAACGAGCCTTGCTGGCTTGACCCTTGCTGGCTCATTCAGCGATGACAACGACGAAGCGATGCCCGAATTGCCTTGGTAGCAGGAGTTTCTGCCAGGAATGTTATGCGCCCTTAGGCTGCATTCACTACTAATAACGTTAAGTGTCAGCTCTTCATAATCGCGAGCAAGGAAAACTCCATGAGGATACCCGTAAGCACCGCCGACCGCGTGACGGCGCATATGCGCCGCAAGTGCAACCATGGTCAGGTGCAACTACATGCTATTTATCGCCGTTGATTGGAAGATTTGACGTTTTGCCAGAGGCATCAATATACGTAATGCTGGGGGACGTGTTGTTTTAGGGTAGTGCGGACCATAAAGCCTCCCAGAAGTCGTCCACTTCACAGAATGTTACTCCTGAATAGGATGACTTGCGATCAGTGCCGCGGCTGCACCAAAGATCATGTGACTTCAGGGAGCAGAACAGACCGTATTGGGCGTTGCGGCACGTCAAGGTCTTGCCGAAAAATCTCGCCGTTGACCAGTAAGTTCACGACCGAATGGTAACATCAAGGTATCACAGTAAGCACTGCTTCCCCAAATCCATCCAGTCTAGAAGCTTGGTCTAGATATAAAATAGACATAATGTCATGCACTAGTATAAAAGTATGTACGAATATGAGCCTTTTCAGCGCAGAAGGGTAGCGACCGCCTTGCTTGACCACCCAGTGGACTGGTATGGTCCGAGTTGGCAGGTAGGGCCCTGGAAACAGCGTAGGGCGCTTCAAGCTTTGGAAAGGCCCAAAAGTATCATGGAGGACACCTTAACCATCGGTGGTGGCACAGCCGGTTCACATAATTGTACTTCTGGGCACATGGGAAGAACCCAGAACCGCTACGAATGGACCACAAGATGCGGATGCCACGGCAGCTTAGCGTACAGGGCAACAGGTGGCAACAGCGTGGGACTCTTGAGCGAATAGGAAAAATCCGTTAGGACACCTGAGTGACCGAGAGTGCACCAGCAGGGTAACAAATAGCACCCCCGACCACAGCGTAGTGCCCTCCGAGCAAATGGGACGAACCATACCGATGTGGAAGGTCACAGTCAGCGATTGAGAGTGTGCCGGAAAATCAACATGCAGGGTCCCCAGTAGCACCGTAGCGCCCATAAAGAGCCTAATTGACCCTTTTTCTACCTCAACCATACCAATCAGTGAAAGGTTGTTTCGTTGGTCACGGTCCCTTCACATTTCCTTGGGGACCGTTCTGGTCGTTTGCAAGCCAGTGCTGTCAAGCATATATCGCATCGATAAGGCTTAAGAGATAATAGTTTTATGCCGACATATGTCGGCCCGCAGTATACTGACAGGCGTTGGTGTAACGATGATGTCGATGAAATCTTGGTTTTGTTGTCAAATTGCAGACATATAATTCGGCTAATGGTCACAAGAGCATAAGGTGAATCTATATCTCATAGCAGGAATTGCGCGTGTTGGGAGTACTTTTGGCATTCATGTGTATTCGCCTTATGCACGCACACACACACACACACACACACACACACATATATATATATATATATATATATATATATATATATATATATATAGTGTGTGCGTGTTGTGTGTGTATATATACCTACACATAGTTTTAACTTTCCACGAGATAGTTCTGCTCATACACAGGCCACTATAATCGACAGCGCTCTTTGCTTTGGATGCTTTCATGTATAGTTCTTGTAGGCTTTCGAACGTCACTTTTGCTATCGATTTTAGATTAAGAATAAATTTGCCAAAGAAAGCTGTCATGTATTCATATATTCGTGGCTCAACGGTCCAGAAGCAACGTACATCCATTTTCAAAAGCAACATATGGCTCTTCGCTTCATGTCGGCAACTGAATAATATGAACTGAGAATATGAAACACAAGCATAAAAAACAATGGGCTTCTGTTTGAATAATACAAACTGTCGTTTTCACTTGATAAAAAACAAGCCGGGAAAGAAACCTGGTACTATAGCTGCACAGAAGCCATCATTAACATCATACACCGTGGCCTGCACAAACAACGTGGTAAATTACAAAGGTGTATTCCAAACACCCTACACCTTTAAGACCCTTACACAGTTTTATCTGCGACAGGTTCATTGCTTGTGTAATTTATTAGTAATGTTTCTACAAAGCAAATATTCAAAAGCTTGATTGATAGGTTTGTTTATCACCGGCTTGTGGTCATAAATGAGCAATGCTTCCAGAATGTTGAGGTTTCTTGTGTTGGATGCAGACACTAGAATATCAGTCATTTGTGTGAGCATTTGGCGCGTGAGACCAGTACCGTGGTCGCCTTACACGTGATCTCTTTGTGCCACCTACGTGAGATGCGTTGTGAGGTGTCGGGAGAAAGGTGTAATTACATCAATGTAGGATACGCAACGGATCCTGCATCTTCGTCTTGCCAGGAAGGCTGTATACTGCGTTGGTGCGCTACAACATCTGTGTTTTGATGGCGTTGTTTTTTAGGATGAGATCTCCAGTTTTGCGAGTTATGTGATATATATGCAATCTAAGCATATCGCCGTCCACGCCATTTACGTTTTATTGGCACTCAATCTTCAAATACATTCCTGTAATTATGTGGACTGAATTGCGATGCTTACGATAGTAGATGCTTTTGGATGGACTGGTTTTTAGGCTGTTAATAGTGGTGCGAATGATTCGAAGGCTTATCACTTGATAAGAGCTAGCACAGCCACCAGGATCGCTCGCCTTGCGTTGCCGCGCGGCGAATCCAGCTCCTGCTCCCTCCCCTTCCCGATCACCTTTTGTGAGATCGCTTTGAGAGGGACTGTTATTGTTCCGGTGCAATTCTGTTGCATGGTATAAAATGTTATTCGTCAGTGGATGATGCCTTTCCGAAACAGGGGGATGCCATCATCCTTAAGGGGTGCCGACAGTTTCTGGCACGCAAATACCAACGCATGGTAGGGGTGGCGGGCGAACTTCAAAAAATATTGTCAGTTTTCATTTGTTTTTGTACTTTAACGTGCAAAGGCCACATGGAGAGATGGTCTGTGTCACCTGGGCTGTCAGGTAGCCAGACATTTTCTGGCATTACATTATGCCTAACCTGTCATCGTTAGACCCAAAGCACGCGACACTGCGGTGGTGGGACGGAACCTCTAACACTGAGCTATTGGAATGCGGGACTGAGCGTGACACAAGAGAGCGAATAGTTCCATGAACGTAGTTCGCGACGGGGCTGATGTGCAGGCAACACATCACCCTCATTTATTCACCTCACCTCATCATTCACCCCTCCCCCCCCCCACACACACGTAATCGATTACCTTTCGCATACTAGGTGTTACAGGTTGCTCTATGCCGTACGGGCGCCTGTGAAGCTGTTATGTTCTGTCTTACAACTTGTGTGTCTTGTGTTTGCATGATTTTAAACATGAATGCCGTGAACGTGGCGCGTGCGTTTTCTTCAAACACCATGGGCGCCCATTCAAAACACTGAGGTCACCCAAGGCTCTCTATGGGCACTTGGAGTGTCTTTTTATTCTTCAAAACCTCTTTAACGCCCATGCGACGGTTTCAAGTCTCAGAGACGCTCTTTCAATCCCGGGGGCGCCTCTCCAGAATTCGAGCACCATGTTACGTTAGGGGGGAGGGCTCCTAACCGAACGAGCCGTTTTTGAGATATTAGTGGAAGTCATTCGAATTTTGCCCGGAAATTAATTTAAACCTTGGGAGTATTTTCGGGACCCAGGAACACCCTTTGAGCGCTCAGATCCGCCACTCAAGATTTTATGTCGTTTTGTTTGGACGTCCTTTTCTTTTTAAAGCGTCCTTTCTCACATTGCAACATATCTTCGGAAGTCAGGAGTGCTGTTGGAGTTTTAACGGAGAACCTTTCTGGGCTTTGGACGCCCTCTTGTTTTTAAGTACGTTTTTTCACCCTCAGGACATGTTTTCATACATCACGGGAGCCATTTTGACCACCGGCGGCGCTGTCCAGGGTGCTGGGCACGCAGACTCTCAAGCGCATCCTTCTCGACCTAGAAGCACATCTTTAGACCACAAGGGCATCTTGTGGTCCATCGGGCGCACCAAGGGTGCCCAATCCATCCCACGGTATGGGCACCCTTTATTCTTTAAGGCATTCGTCTAAACTTCGAGACATAGTTTAAAACTACAAAGACGCCGCTTTAGTTCTCAGACCAGGTCAGGGTATGGGATGTTATTTTTCTATTCGCTTAGAGCGTTTTAGATCTGGTTCTGGGGCATATTAAGAACGTCAGCAACGCTCTTCGAGCCATAGGAGCGTCCCTCCACGGTTTGAGGCCCGCATTTACTCTTTAGGGCGTTTTTACCGCCCCCGAGGCGTACCTTTGAGCGTCAGGGGCGACCTTAAGCCATTGGGGGCGGTGACTAGCTCTTAGAGCACCATTTTATTGTAAATGGTGTTCTTCTCGTCCTCGGAACATATCCTACGGGGTACCCGAGTGAGTACTCGGAAGGTGCTATTTCAGTCCGGAAGCTTTTGATGTCCTTTTATTTTTGGGGTATCCATCTATGCTCTGGGACATACTTTCAGAACTATGGGCGTCCTTTCGGCTACTGGGGGTGCCTGTTGTCCCTCCCCCAAGGTTTGGGAAAGCTTTGGATCTTCATGATCATTACACCCCCTTCACCCTTCTGGTCCGTGCTGGACGCCCCTTTAACAGCGCCGGCATGGTAGGCCGCCTTCGCCGCTCGAGAGCGCCCCCTGGATGGGCGCCTTTCCTTTTCGGTCGGGAGGTGGCACGTGCCTTCATTGGAATGCTCGTGTCTCAGCCCGCCCTCTCCCCCTCCCCTCTGGATCTGCCGCTGGTTGTAGATGTGTAATACACTAGTTGTGTTCACAGAAAAGCATTGTACTGGACACATATACCCGGTTAGCTCTTGCATGGTATACAAATGTGACTTTGGCTGGCCTCAGATGACCTCTAGGTCAGCCTATAGTGATATTTTCTCTCTGGAACACCTTTGTCCCACAGCTGCACCAAATAAAATAGGTTGACCCGGAAGGAAATATTGAAAAGCATTGTTCTTTTCGGTACAGAAATGGTTCTTGTCGGAACAGAAACGGTTGGAGTAGTCTCCACTTCGTCTTAACGCTCATTTTCGTGCACTCAGTATCAGTCGTGAAGTGATAAGGTAGGTTTTACTTGTATCTATTGTAGCGACCATTTTTCACATTTCGTAATCTCTGTCGGCTCTACACTTGACCTAAGGTTCAAATTAAGGCCTACACTAAGGAAGGGAAGGTGAAGTCAGAAATTGTGTGTGCATTCTTCGTGATTTAAGGAGAAATTCACAACACTACCTTTGTTTTCCTTATATCACCTCTTAAAAATGGAGATAACAGTGGGAAGTCAACTTCCCCTGGCTTGGCGCGGGATAATGGTATATATATATATATATATATATATATATATATATATATATATATATATATATATGTGTGTGTGTGTGTGTGTGTGTGTGTGTGTGTGTGTGTGTGTGTGTGTGTGTGTGTGTGTGTGTGTGTGTGTGTGTGTGTGTGTGTGTGTGTGTGTGTGTGTGGTATGTGTATATGTCTATGTGCATATATATAGCGATTCAAACAACTTCACTTATCTTTTCAACACCTTACAAACGTGTTAGCACTTGATCATGACCACAGATTTAAATGTCAACTTTCAACAACATCCTAATGTTTCCGTCCTGATGCCATTTAATCCATTCCTGCTGGTATGTTCCAGATCGGCCACAGTCGGCATCAGAGATTACACTTATAATGCTGAAAAGAAACATAACTCCGAGACTTTTGGCTTTCCTCAATAATCACTCACCTCTATGTCCTTTGTTCCCTTCGAGATTCTGATTCGCACGCTCTCAACATTCTTGACAGAACACACCAAACATGGCAGCTTTCAGGTATAATTACAAGGAGGCACAAGTAACGCATAAAATAGTGAGCAAAAAATGAAAGTAAGCACTCTTGCACAGCGAGCAATCTGTACAGAGAAACAGTTCTTAGATATACAGACGACCGTAGGGGAACGTCGGGTGAGTTGAGCTGTAGGAGTACGAGACGCCCTCAGGACCGTACGTGCCCTGGAACGTGACGGGAGCGCCGGAGGCAGCGTATATCTGAGGGTAGATACCGAGAGCGGCCGCATTGTACAGGCGGGCGTGCTCCGCCTTGGCGGCGACCACCTCGGGGGTGTCGCTGACGGGCAGAGGAGCGCTGCGTTTCTTGCGGTAGTCGGGGGCAGCGACGGCGGCGACGGCAGCCTTGGCGTACAGCTTGCGGAACTCCGCCTTGGCGGTCTTCACATCAGCTGTGTCCTGGACGGGGGCAGGTCCGGCCAGGCTGTACACGAACGCCTTCAGGTCGGCGACGGGAGCCACCGGCACGTTGGTGCCCTGCACACGAAAGCCGGCCGCGTCCGCCACGTAGTTGACTGTCTGGGTCAAGCCGTTGGCGTCCACGTAGCTGTAAGAGCCGACGGTGCCGCCGTAGGCGTCCTTGCTCTCCGACTTGGTGCTCAGGCCGTCACTGTAGCCATAGCTGTATTCTCCAGTTCTGCTCAAGGAGTAGTGCTGAGAGCTGACACCGGCCGGGGCGGCGTAGGTTGTGTAGGGGGCAGCAGCGTTGATGGTGTAGGGGGCAGAAGTGTAGGTAGTGTAGGGGGTAGAAAACTTCTTCTGGTATCCGGCGGCGTACGGGTATCCCGAGTAACCAAGCCCGCTGTAAGGCAGGTACTGGGCAGCCGCAACGGCCAGAACAGCGGACACTACCACCTGAAAAAAACAGTGCGAGCTCTCCATATACAATTTTAAACAATTCAAAGGCAAGAAAACAAGGTTGGAAGAAAAGGAAAATACAGTGGTGCTGCAGACGTCATTGGCAAATGGGTTTTACACAGATTTTCCAAGCTACGAATACCGAGGTTAATGATGAAACCATGCTCCTCAAATAAAACTGCAAGGCGGCATCCATTTAAAGTTCGCAAGACACGTTCAAACATTTTAGGCATATTGTCACTCACTGTTTACATGCTACGATTGATTTTACGTATCCCGATGGCGAGATTGGTGAGACAAACAAAAGATTTGACACTGCGTCAGATTTCCTTCGAAATGTTCGATAACTAGTGGAATTATACTTATAAGGACCCAAGCACCTGGTAGAGCGAAGCATCTCAAATCAATATATATCTATGACAAACGTGGCGATGCCGCGAACTCACCAGGACTTTCATGGCTGAACTCGCTGGTGTCTGTGATGCCTGTGGCCCAGCGCCGGCCAGTTATATACCGGCTGTAGCCGGTGCTGACTGGGTGGAGCCACGCCCATGGCGACGGAAACGCTCACATGCCACTGGAGGTGTTACCCAGCCGGCCCCGGTGGTCAGCGGCGACCCCGTACAGTCGTCCACCAAGGTCGGGGAGGGGCCCGTCCCCTCATGCTAATCGCAGAGAGATGAGGTTTCCGTTGAAGGGAAGCCTTATTGCAAGGTAGCAACACAAGTAAATGAGATGCTTATTATTAACGGACGATGGTAAGCGTCCCTGACTGATAAACTACTGGGCGCGGAAAGCCACTGGGCGTCCATTACGGTAGCTGTCCTTGGAGAAGTCAGTTGCTACCGAATGTTGCCGAGCAATGTCAGTGGCCGACTGGCCTCGATTAGCGTTGAAATCCCAACAGCGTCCGTCTCGTAATTTCATGCTGGCATGGGATGCATATCACATGTGTGCTTTGTTCCGTATACTATGTTGAAGGAGGAATTAATTGTTCGCCATGAAAAACGGCGCATGACAATCAAGCGCAAAAGCAATCACAATCTCTTGAAATAGGATGCAAACAAGCGAAAGAAAATGTCCAGCGCCGCATCACTACTAAACGAGCCTTGCTGGCTTGACCCTTGCTGGCTCATTCAGCGACGACAACGACGAAGCGATGCCCGAATTGCCTTGGTAGCAGGGCTTTCTGCCAAGAATGTTATGCGCTCCTAGGCTGCATTCACTACTAATAACGTTAAGTATCAGCTCTTCATAATTGCGAGCCGGGGAAACTCCATGAGGATACCCGTAAGCACCGCCGACCGCGTGACGGCGCATACGCGCCTCAAGTGCAACCACGGTCAGGTGCAACTACATGCTATTTATCGCCGTTGATTGGGAGATTTGACGTTTTGCCAGAGGCATCAATATACGTATTGTTGGGGGACGTGTTGTTTTAGGGTAGTGCGGACCATAAAGCCTCCCAGAAGTCGTCACTTCACAGAATGTTACTCCTGACTAGGATGACTTGCGATCAGTGCCGCGGCTGCACCAAAGATCATGTGACTTAAGGGAGCAGAACAGACCGCATCGAGCGTTGCGGCACTGTTAAGGTCTTGCCGCGAAATCTCGCCGTTGACCAGTAAGTTCACGATCGAATGGTAGCATCAAAGTATCACAGTAAGCACTGCTTCCCCAAATCCATCCAGTCTAGAAGCTTGGTATAGATATAAATTAGACATAACGTCATACACTAGTATAAAAGTATGTACGAATATAAGCCTTTTCAGCGCAGAAGGATGGCGACCGCCTCGCTTGACCACCCAGTGGACTGGTATGGTCCGAGTTGGCAGGTAGGGCCCTGGAAACAGCGTAGGGCGCTTCAAGCTTTGGAAAGCCCAAAAGTATCATGGAGGACACCTTAACCATCGGTGGTGGCGCAGCCGGTTCACATAATTGTACTTCTGAGCACATGGGAAGAACCCAGAACCGCTGCGAATGGACCACGAGATGCGGATGCCACGGCAGCTTAGCGTACAGGGCAACAGGTGGCAACAGCGTGGGACTCTTGAGCGAATAGGAAAAATCCTTTAGGACACCTGAGTGACCGAGAGTGCACCAGCAGGGTAACAAATAGCACCCCCGACCACAGCGTAGTGCCCTCCGAGCAAATGGGACGAACCATGCCGATGTGGAAGGTCACAGTCAGCGATTGAGTGTACCGGGAAATCAACATGCATGGTCCCCAGTAGCACCGTAGCGCCCATAAAGAGCCTAATTGACCCTTTCTCTACCTCAACCATACCATTCATTCAAAGGTTGTTTCGTTGGTCACGGTCCCTTCACATCTCCTTGGGGACCGTTCTGGTCGTTTGCAAGCCAGTGCTGTCAAGCATGTATCGCATCGATAAGGTTTATTAGGAGATAATAGTTATGCGCCGACATTACTCGGCCTGCAATGTACTGGCAGGTGTTGATGTAACGGCAATGTCGATGAAATCTTGATTTTATTGTGAAAATGGAACCATATAATTTGGCTAATGGTCACAAGAGCACAAAGCGAATTTATATCTAATAGCGGTAATTGCGTGTATCGGGAGTATTTTGGCATTCATGTGTCTCCACCTTATGCGAACACACACACAAGCACACACACACACACACACACACACACACACACACACACACACACACACACACACACACACACACACACACACACACACACACACACACACACACACACACACACACACACACACACACACACACACACACACACACACACACAACACACACACACACACACACACACACACACAACACCACACACACACACACACACACACACACACACACACACACACACACACACACACACACACACACACACACACACACACACACACACACACACACACACACACACACACACACACACGCACACACACACACACACACATATATATATATATATATATATATATATATATACATATATTCATAATTTCCACCAGGTAGTTCTCCTCATACACAGGCCACTAAAATGGACAGCGCTCTTCGCCTTGGATGTCGTCATGTTTAGTTCTTGCGGGTTTTCGAACGTTACTTTTGACATCGATTTTAGATTAAGAATTAGTTTACCAAAGAAGGGTGCCATGTATTCATATATTCGTGTCTCAACGGTCAAGAAGCAACGTATATCCATTTACCAAAGCAACATATTTCTCTTCGCTTCATGTCGGCAACTGAATAATATGAACTGAGAGTATACAACACGAGCACACAAAAAAACAATTGGATACTGATTGAATAATACTAACTGCCGTTTTCACTTGACATAAAACAAATCGGAAAAGAAACCTAATACTAAAGTCGCACAGAAGCCATCATTAACATCATACACTATGGCCTGCACAAACAACGTGATAAATCACAAAGCTGCCTACCAAAGACCTCACACCATTAAGACCCTTACGCAGTTTTGTCTGCGACAGGTTCATTGCTTGTGTAATTTTTTAGTTACGTTTCTCAAGACCAAATATTCAAAAGTTTGATTCATACGTTTGTGTGTTACCGATTTGTGGTTATAAATGAGCAATGCTTCCAGAATGTTGAGCTTTCCTGTGTTGGATGCAGACACTAGAATTTCAGTCATTTGTGTGAGCATTTGGCGCGTGAGACCAGTACCGTGGTCGCCTTACACGTGATCTCTTGGTGTCACCTCCGTGAGGTGCGATGTGAGGTGTCGGGAGAAAGGTGTAATTACACCAATGTAGAATACGCAACGGAACCTGCATCTTCGTTGTTGCCAGGAAGGCTGTATACTGCGTTGGTGCGCTACAACATCTGTGTTTTGATGGTGTTGTTTTTTATGATGAGATCTCCAGTTTTGCGAGTTATGTAATAGATATACAATCTAAGCATATCGCCGTCGACGCCATTTACGTTTTGTTGGCACTCAATTTTTAAATACATTCCTGTAATGATGTGGACTGAATTGAGATGCCTACGGTAGTAGATGCTTTGGATGGACTGGTTTTTAGGCTGTTAATAGTGGTGCGAGTGATTCGAAGGCTTATCACTTGATAAGAGCTAGCACAGCCACCAGGATCGCTCGCCTTGCGTTGCCGCGCGGCGAATCCAGCTCCTGCTCCCTCCCCGTCCCGATCGCCTTCTGTGAGATCGCTTTGAGAGGGACTGTTATTGTTCCGGTGCAATTCTGTTGCATGGTATAAAATGTTATTCGTCAATGGATGATGCCTTTCCGTGACAGGGGAATGCCATTATCCTTAAGGGGCGCGTAAATACCAACGCATGGTAAACGGGCGAACTTCAAAAAAAATTGTCAGTTATCATTTGTTTTTGTACTTTAACGTGCAAAGGCTACATGGAGAGATGGTCTGTGTCACCTGGGCTGTCAGGTAGCCAGACATTTTCTGGCATTACGTTATGCCTAAGCTGTCATCTTTAGACCCAAGGCACGCGATACTGCGGTGGTGGGACGGAACCTCTAACACTGAGCTATTGGGATGCAGGACTGAGCGTGACACAAGAAAGCGAATAGTTCCATGAACGTAGTTCGTGACGGGGCTGATGTGCAGGCAGCACATCACCCTCATTTATTCACCTCACCTCATCATTCACCCCTCCCCCCCCCCCCCCACACACACGTAATCGATTACCTTTCGCATACTAGGTGTTACAGGTTGCTCTATGCCGTACGGGCGCCTGTGAAGCTGTTATGTTCTGTCTTACAACTTGTGTGTCTTGTGTTTGCATGATTTTAAACATGAATGCCGTGAACGTGGCGCGTGCGTTTTCTTCAAACACCATGGGCGCCCATTCAAAACACTGAGGTCACCCAAGGCTCTCTATGGGCACTTGGAGTGTCTTTTTATTCTTCAAAACCTCTTTAACGCCCATGCGACGGTTTCAAGTCTCAGAGACGCTCTTTCAATCCCGGGGGCGCCTCTCCAGAATTCGAGCACCATGTTACGTTAGGGGGGAGGGCTCCTAACCGAACGAGCCGTTTTTGAGATATTAGTGGAAGTCATTCGAATTTTGCCCGGAAATTAATTTAAACCTTGGGAGTATTTTCGGGACCCAGGAACACCCTTTGAGCGCTCAGATCCGCCACTCAAGATTTTATGTCGTTTTGTTTGGACGTCCTTTTCTTTTTAAAGCGTCCTTTCTCACATTGCAACATATCTTCAGAAGTCAGGAGTGCTGTTGGAGTTTTAACGGAGAACCTTTCTGGGCTTTGGACGCCCTCTTGTTTTTAAGTACGTTTTTTCACCCTCAGGACATGTTTTCATACATCACGGGAACCATTTTGACCACCGGCGGCGCTGTCCAGGGTGCTGGGCACGCAGACTCTCAAGCGCATCCTTCTCGACCTAGAAGCACATCTTTAGACCACAAGGGCATCTTGTGGTCCATCGGGCGCACCAAGGGTGCCCAATCCATCCCACGGTATGGGCACCCTTTATTCTTTAAGGCATTCGTCTAAACTTCGAGACATAGTTTTAAACTACAAGGACGCCGCTTTAGTTCTCAGAGAAGGTCAGGGTATGGGATGTTATTTTTCTATTCGCTTAGAGCGTTTTAGATCTGGTCCTGGGACATATTAAGAACGTCAGCGACGCTCTTCGAGCCATAGGAGCGTCCCTCCACGGTTTGAGGCCCGCATTTACTCTTTAGGGCGTTTTTACCGCCCCCGAGGCGTACCTTTGAGCGTCAGGGGCGACCTTAAGCCATTGGGGGCGGTGACTAGCTCTTAGAGCACCATTTTATTGTAAATGGTGTTCTTCTCGTCCTCGGAACATATCCTACGGGGTACCCGAGTGAGTACTCGGAAGGTGCTATTTCAGTCCGGAAGCTTTTGATGTCCTTTTATTTTTGGGGTATCATCTATGCTCTGGGACATACTTTCAGAACTATGGGCGTCCTTTCGGCTACTGGGGGTGCCTGTTGTCCCTCCCCCAAGGTTTGGGAAAGCTTTGGATCTTCATGATCATTACACCCCCTTCACCCTTCTGGTCCGTGCTGGACGCCCCTATAACAGCGCCATAATGGTAGGCCGCCTTCGCCGCCCGAGAGCGCCCCCTGGATGGGCGCCTTTCCTTTTCGGTCGGGAGGTGGCACGTGCCTTCATTGGAATGCTCGTGTCTCAGCCCGCCCTCTCCCCCTCCCCTCTGGATCTGCCGCTGTTGTAGATGTGTAATACACTAGTTGTGTTCACAGAAAAGCATTGTACTGGACACATATACCCGGTTAGCTCTTGCATGGTATACAAATGTGACTTTGGCTGACCTCAGATGACCTCTAGGTCAGCCTATAGTGATATTTTGTCTCTGGAACACCTTTGTCCCACAGCTGCACCAAATAAAATAGATTGACCCGGAAGGAAATATTGAACAGCATTGTTCTTTTCGGTACAGAAATGGTTCTTGTCGGAACAGAAACGGTTGGAGTAGTCTCCACTTCGCCTTAACGCTCATTTTCGTGCACTCAGTATCAGTCGTGAAGTGATACCGTAGGTTTTACCTGTATCTATCGTAGCGACCGTTTTTCACATTTCGTAATCTCTGTCGGCTCTACACTTGACCTAAGGTTCAAATTAAGGCCTACGCTAAGGAAGGGAAGGTGAAGTCAGAAATTGTGTGTGCATTCTTCGTGATTTAAAGAGAAATTCACAACATTACCTTTGTTTTCCTTATATCACCTCTTAAAAATGGAGATAACAGTGGGAAGTCAACTTCCCCTGGCTTGGCGCGGGATAATGGTATATATATATATATGTATATATGTGTGTGTGTGTGTGTGTGTGTGTGTGTGTGTGTTTGTGAGTGTGTGTGTGTGTGTGTGTGTGTGTGTGTGTGTGTGTGTGTGTGTGTGTGTGTGTGTGTGTGTGTGTGTGTGTGTGTGTGTGTGTGTGTGTGTGTGTGTGTGTGTGTGTGTGTGTGTGTGTGTGTGTGTGTATATATGTCTATGTGCATATATATAGCGATTCAAACAACTTCACTTATCTTTTCAACACTCTACAAACGTGTTAGCACTTGATCATGACCACAGATTTAAATGTCAACTTTCAACAACATCCTAATGTTTCCGTCCTGATGCCATTTAATCCATTCCTGCTGGTATGTTCCAGATCGGCCACAGTCGGCATCAGAGATTACACTGATAATGCTGAAAAGAAGCATAATTCCGAGACTTTTGGCTTTCCTCAGTAATCACTCACCTCTATGTCCTTTGTTCCCTTCGAGATTCGGATTCGCACGCTCTCAACATTCTTGAGAGGACACACCAAACATGGCAGCTTTCAGGTATAATTACAAGGAGGCACAAGTAACGCAGAAAATAGCGAGCAAAAAATGAAAAGTAGGCACTCTTGCACAGCGAGCAATCTGTACAGAGAAACAGTTCTTAGATATACAGACGACCGTAGGGGAACGTCGGGTGAGTTGAGCTGTAGGAGTACGAGACGCCCTCAGGACCGTACGTGCCCTGGAACGTGACGGGAGCGCCGGAGGCAGCGTATATCTGAGGGTAGATACCGAGAGCGGCCGCATTGTACAGGCGGGCGTGCTCCGCCTTGGCGGCGACCACCTCGGGGGTGTCGCTGACGGGCAGAGGAGCGCTGCGCTTCTTGCGGTAGTCGGGGGCAGCGGCGGCGGCGACGGCAGCCTTGGCGTACAGCTTTCGGAACTCCGCCTTGGCGGCCTTCACATCAGCCGTGTCCTGGACGGGAGCAGGTCCGGCCAGGCTGTACACGGACGCCTTCAGGTCGGCGACGGGAGCCACCGGCACGTTGGTGCCCTGCACACGAAAGCCGGCCGCGTCCGCCACGTAGTTGACTGTCTGGGTCAAGCCGTTGGCGTCCACGTAGCTGTAAGAGCCGACGGTGCCGCCGTAGGCGTTCTTGCTCTCCGACTTGGTGCTCAGGCCGTCACTGTAGCCATAGCTGTATTCCCCACTTCTGCTCAGGGAGTAGTGCTGAGAGCTGACACCGGCCGGGGCGGCGTAGGTTGTGTAGGGGGCAGCAGCGTTGATGGTGTAGGGGGCAGAAGTGTAGGTAGTGTAGGGGGTAGAAAACTTCTTCTGGTATCCGGCGGCGTACGGGTATCCCGAGTAACCAAGCCCGCTGTAAGGCAGGTACTGGGCAGCCGCAACGGCCAGAACAGCGGACACTACCACCTGAAAAAGACAGTGCGAGCTCTCCATATACAATTTTAAACAATTCAAAGGCAAGAAAACAAGGTTGGAAGAAAAGGAAAATACAGTGGTGCTGCAGACGTCATTGGCAAATGGGTTTTACACAGATTTTCCAAGCTACGAATACCGAGGTTAATGATGAAGCCATGCTCTTCAAATAAAACTGCAAGGCGGCATCCATTTAAAGTTCGCAAGACACGTTCAAACATCTTAGGCATATTGTTACTCACTGTTTACATGCTACGATTGATTTTACGTATCCCGATGGCGAGATTGGTGAGACAAACAAAAGATTTGACACTGCGTCAGATTTCTTTCGAAATGTTCGATAACTAGTAGAACTATACTTATAAGGACCCAAGCACCTGGTGGAGCGAAGCATCTCAAATCAATATATATCTATGACAAACGTGGCGATGCCGCGAACTCACCAGGACTTTCATGGCTGAACTCGCTGGTGTCTGTGATGCCTGTGGCCCAGCGCCGGCCACTTATATACCGGCTGTAGCCGGTGCTGACTGGGTTGAGCCACGCCCATGGCGACGGAAACGCTCACATGCCACTGGAGGTGTTACCCAGCCGGCCCCGGTGGTCAGCGGCGACCCCGTACACCCGTCCACCAAGGTCGGGGAGGGGCCCGTCCCCTCATGCTAATCGCAGAGAGATGAGGTTTCCGTTGAAGGGAAGCCTTATTGCAAGGTAGCAACACAAGTAAATGAGATGCTTATTATTAACGGACGATGGTAAGCGTCCCTGACTGATGAACTACTGGGTGCGGAAAGCCACTGGGCGTCCATTACGGTAGCTGTCCTTGGAGAAGTCAGTTGCTGCCGAATGTTGCCGAGCAATGTCAGTGGCCGACTGGCCTCGATTAGCGTTGAAATCCCAACAGCGTCCGTCTCGTAATTTCATGCTGGCATGGGATGCATATCACATGTGTGCTTTGTTCCGTATACTATGTTGAAGGAGGAATTAATTGTTCGCCATGAAAAACGGCGCATGACAATCAAGCGCAAAAGCGATCACAATCTCTTGAAATAGGATGCAAACAAGCGAAAGAAAATGTCCAGCGCCGCATCACTACTAAACGAGCCTTGCTGGCTTGACCCTTGCTGGCTCATTCAGCGACGACAACGACGAAGCGATGCCCGAATTGCCTTGGTAGCAGGGCTTTCTGCCAAGAATGTTATGCGCTCCTAGGCTGCATTCACTACTAATAACGTTAAGTATCAGCTCTTCATACTCGCGAGCAGGGGAAACTCCATGAGGATACCCGTAAGCACCGCCGACCGCGTGACGGCGCATACGCGCCTCAAGTGCAACCACGGTCAGGTGCAACTACATGCTATTTATCGCCGTTGATTGGGAGATTTGACGTTTTGCCAGAGGCATCAATATACGTAATGCTGGGGGACGTGCTGTTTTAAGGTAGTGCGGACCATAAAGCATCCCAGAAGTCGTTCACTTCACAGAATGTTACTCCTGACTAGGATGACTTGCGATCAGTGCCGCGGCTGCACCAAAGATCATGTGACTTAAGGGAGCAGAACAGACCGCATCGAGCGTTGCGGCACTGTTAAGGTCTTGCCGCGAAATCTCGCCGTTGACCAGTAAGTTCACGATCGAATGGTAACATCAAAGTATCACAGTAAGCACTGCTTCCCCAAATCCATCCAGTCTAGAAGCTTGGTCTAGATATAAAATAGACTAAATGTCATACACTAGTTTAAAAGTATGTACGAATATAAGCCTTTTCAGCGCAGAAGGGTAGCGACCGCCTTGCTTGACCACGCAGTGGACTGGTATGGTCCAAGTTAGCAGGTAGAGCCCTGGAAACAGCGTAGGGCGCTTCAAGCTTTGGAAAAGCCCAAAAGTATCATGGAGGACACCTTAACGATCGGTGGTGGCACAGCCGGTTCACATAATTGTACTTCTGAGCACATGGGAAGAACCCAGAACCGCTGCGAATGGGCCACAAGATGCGAATGCCACGGCAGCTTAGCGTACAGGGCAACAGGTGGCAACAGTGCGGGACTCTTGAGCGAATAGGAAAAATCCTTTAGGACACCTGAGTGACCGAGAGTGCACCAGCAGGGTAACAAATAGCACCCCTGACCACAGCGTAGTGCCCTCCGAGCAAATGGGACGAACCATGCCGATGTGGAAGGTCACAGTCAGCGATTGAGAGTGTGCCGGAAAATCAACATGCAGGGTCCCCAGTACTACCGTAGCGCCCATAAAGAGCCTAATTGACCCTTTTTCTACCTCAACCATACCAATGAGTCAAAGGTTGTTTCGTTGATCACGGTCCCTTCACATTTCCTTGGGGACCATTCTGGTCGTTTGCAAGCCAGTGCTGTCAAGCATATATCACATCGATAAGGTTTATTAGGAGATAAAAGTTCTGTGCCGACATTACTCGGCCTGCAAGGTACTGTCAGGCGTTGGTGTAACGATGATGTCGATGAAATCTTGATTTTATTGCCAAAATGCAACCATATAATTTGGCTAATGGTCACAGGAGCACAAAGTGAATTTATATATAATAGCAGTAATTGCGTGCATCGGGAGTATTTTGGAATTCATGTGTCTCCCCTTATGCGCACACACACACACACACACACGCACACGCACGCACACGCACACACATACGCAAACGTATTCGCACACGCGTATGCCTACGCGTACGCGGAAGCACACACACACACACACACACACACACACACACACACACACACACCACACACACACACACACACACACACACACACACACACACCACACACACACACACACACCCACACACACACACACACACACACACACACACACACACACACACACACACACACACACACCACACACACACACACACACACACACACACACACACACACACACACACACACACACACATATACATATATAAATATATACATATATATATATATATATATATATATGTATATGTATATATATATATATATATATATATATATATATATATATATATATATATATATAAATACATATATATTTATTTATTTATATATTTATATATACATGTGCTTATAAAATAATATCTGTGGCTATATATAATATAATAATATGTATGGAAATATAAATTTATATATATATATATATGTTTGTATATATAGTAAATATATATATATATATATATATATATATATTCATAATTTCCACCTGGTAGTTCTTCTCATGCACAGGCCACTATAATGGACAGCGCTCTTCGCCTTGGATGTCGTCATGTTTAGTTCTTGCGGTTTTTCGAACGTTACATTTGATATCGGGCTTAGATAAGGAATTAGTTTAACAAAGAAAGGTGCCAAATACTCACATATTTGTGGCTCAACGGGCCAGAAGCAACGTATATCCATTTGCCAAAGCAGCTGATGGCTCTTCGCTTCATGTCGGCAACTGAATAATATGAAATGAGAGTATATGAAACACGAGAAAAAAAAATTGGATTCTGATTGAATAATACTGACTGCCGTTTTCACTTGGCAAAAAACAAAGCGGAAAAGAAACCTAATACTATTGTCGCACAGAAGCCACCATTAACATCATACACTGTGGCCTGCACAAACAATGTGATAAATCACAAAGCTGCCTACCAAAGACCTCACACCATTAAGACACTTACTCAGTTTTGTCTGCGGCAGGTGCATTGCTTGTGTAATTTATTAGTAATGTCTCTCAAAACCAAATATTAAAAAGTTTGATTCATACGTTTGTGTGTTACCGATTTGTGGTTATAAATGAGCAATGCTTCCAGAACGTTGAGGTTTCTTGTGTTGGATGCAGACACTAGAATTTCAGTCATTTGTGCGAGCATTTGGCGCGTGAGACGAGTACCGTGGACGCCTTACGCGTGATCTCTTTGTGCCACCTACGTGAGGTGCGTTGTGAGGTGTCGGGAGAAAGGTGTAATTACACCAATGTAGGATACGCAACGGAACCTGCATCTTCGTCGTTGCCAGGAAGGCTGTATCCTGCGTTGGTGCGCTTCAACATCTTTGTTTTGATTGTGTTTCTTATGATGGGATCTCCAGTTTTGCGAGCTATGTAATATATATGCAATCTAAGCGTATCGCCGTCCACGCCATCTACGTTTTGTTGGTACTCAATTTTCAAATACCTTCCTGTAATTCTGTGGACTGAATTGAGATACTTACGATAGTAGATGCTTTGGATGGACAGGTTTTTAGGCTGTTGATAGTGGTGCGAGTGATTCTAAGGCTTGTCATGTGAAAAGGGCTAGGCACAGCCACCAAGACGGCATTCGCCTTGCGTTGCGGCGCGGCGAATCCAGCTCCTGCTCCCTCTCCGTCCCGATCGTCTTTTGTGAGACGGCTTTGAGAGGGACTGTTATTGTTCCGGTTCAATTCAGCTGAATGATATAAAATGTTATTCGTTAACTGATGGTGCCTTTCCGTGACAGGGGGATACAATCATCCTTGAGGGGTGTCAACAGTTATTGTCATCTTTATTGTCATTATTATTGTCATCTTTAAACTCAAGCCATGCGACACTGCGGTTGTGGGACGGAACCTCTAACACTGAGCTATCGGAATGCGGGACTGAGCGTGACACAAGAGAGCGAATCGTTGCATGAACGTAGTTCGCGACGGGGCTGATGTGCAGGCAGCACATCACCGTCATTCATTCACCTCACCTCATCATTCCCTCCCCCCCCCCCCCCACACGTAATCGATTGTCTTTCTCATCATTGGCGTTACAGGTTGGCCTATGCCGTACAGGCGCCTGTTAAGCTGTAATGTTCGGTCTCACAATTTGTGTGTCTTGTGTTTGCATGATTTTTAACTTGGATGCCGTGAAAGTGGCGCGCGCGTTTTCTTCAAACACCATGGGCGCCCATTCAAAACACCGAGGTCACCCAAGGCTCCCTTTGGGCACTCGGAGTGTCCTTTTATTCTTTAGAACCTCTTTGACGCCTTCGTGACGGTTTTAAGTGTCAGGGACGCCATTTCAATCCCGGAGGCGCCCCTCCAGAATTTGGGCACCATGTTACGTTAGGGGGGAGGGCTACTAGCCGAACGAGCCCTTGTTTAGATGTTAGTGGAAGCTATTCGAATTTTGCCTGGAAATTGGTTTAAACCTTGGGAGTATTTTCGGAACCCAGGAACACCCTTTGAGCGCTCAGAGCCGCCACTCAAGATTTTGTGTCCTCTTGTTTAGACGTTTTTTTGTTCTTTAACACACGCCCGGGTGGCCGGCTAGATACCCTTCGCCTATGTGGGGGGTCAATTTGACCTCCCCTGAGATCTCGAGAACTAAGAAAGCTAAACACGCCAAATTTGCAGGGTGTGTTGAACGGTAAGAGATCTCACTTAGGTCAAAGGTTTAGGTTCCTATGGTATGACCTTCGGGTCAAAAAAAGGTCAAAGAAGTTCAGGTTCCAGGTTGGTCTCCAAAATGCCCCTAGAATCTAGATATCCGTTTTTAAGCAAAAAGTCACATTCTCATTCAAGATCGAGTGACTTTGATTGATCTTTTGGACGTCAAGGTGACCTAGATCATACAAGATTGCTTTGAGTTTTGTATTTGGCTAAGCGACAAAGATTACGCTAGGCAGTATGTTCCTAAACAAAATGTTGACCTGGGTCTTTCTAGGTCAATGACCTGTTCTGACCTCTGACAAGTCCATGGAAGATGCATAATGTGGTTCCTGTTGTCAATTAACTCGAAATGAGCACCAGAAACTATCCCATACAGCAAGCCCAAGAATAGCAAAACAGGTTGTCTTTTACCTTGGTGTGACCTTCATACCTGACCTTTGGTCAATGTAATCTGCTCAATCAACTGTTGTTTTGCCTAAGAAAATATCTTAGAGATGCATGGCTTCGTCTAACACTCCGTTGCTGGGTCAGATTGAAAGATTCCCTAGAAATTGTCCTCGCTGAAACCATGGCCTGATTTTGACCTGCCATTCGTTAGCGACCTTACAAGGTAAATTTAAGTTTTTGATGCCAAACGATATGCTATTCAATTGCCTACAGCTATGCAAAATTTGGCGCGGCTACGCTGCCTCGTTCGGAAACTGTTCCGGAAAAACCCTCGGGGTTTTAATTTGCCCCCCACCCGAGCGCGTGTTAAGGCGTCCTTTCTGACATCACTACCCATCTTTAGAAGTCAGGAGCGCGGTTGGAACTTTAACGGGTGACCATTCTGGGCTTTGGACGCCCTTTTGTTTTTAAATGCATTATTTTCACTTTCAGGACATGTTTTCATCAATAGCGAGTACCCTTTTGGCCACCGGAGGCGCTGTCCAGGGTGCTGGGCACGCAGACTCTAAAGCGGATCCTTCTCGACCTCGAAGCACATCTTTAGACCACAGGAGCATCTTGTGGTTCTTCGGGTGCACCAAGGGTCCCCGAGGTTTCCACGGTTTGGGCAACCTTAATTCTTTGAGGCATTCGTCTCGACTTCGGCACATATCTTAAAACTTCAAGGGCGCCGCTTTAGTTCTCAGAGCCGATCAGGGTATGGGATTTTATTTTTCTATTCGCTTAGGGGTTTTAGATTTGGTCCTGGGACATATTAAGAACGTCAGCGACGCTCTTCGAGCCATAGGAGAGTCCCTCCACGGTTTGAGGCCCGTATATACTCTTTAGGGCGTTTTTCTCGCCCTCGAGGCGTATCTTCGACCGTCCTTCAGTTATTGGGGGCAGTGACCAGCTCTTGGAGCGCCATTTTATTGTAAATGGCATCCTTCTCGTCCTCGGAGCACATCCTTCGGGGTACCCGAGTGAGTACTCGGAAGGTGCTATTTCAGCCCGGAAGCTTTCGATGTCCTTTCATTGTACAGGGTATCCATCTATACTCTGGGACATACTTTCAGAACTATGTGCGCCCTTTCGACTACTGGGGGTGCCTGTTGTCCCTTCCCCCAGGTTTGGGGAAGCTTTGGATCTTCATGATCATTACACCCCCTTCCCCGCTCTGGTCCGTGCTGAACGCCCCTTTAACAGCGCTGGCATGGTGGGCCGCCTTCACCGCCCGAGAGCGCCCCCTGGATGGGCGCCTATCCTTTTCGGTCGGGAGGTGGCACGTGCCTTCATTGGAATGCTCGTGTCTCAGCCCGCCCTCTCCCCCTCCCCTCTGGATCTGCCGCTGGTTGTAGATGTGTAATACACTAGTTGTGTTCACAGAAAAGCATTGTAATGGACACCTATACCCGGTTAGCTCTTTTTCCTCTTGCATGGTATTCAAATGTGACTTTGGCTGACCTCAGATAACCTCTAGGTCAGCCTATAGTGATGTTTTGTCTCTGGAACACCTTTGTCCCACACCTGCACCTAATAAAATAGGTTTAGCCGGAAGGAAATATTGAAAAGCATTGTTCTTTTCGGCACAGAAATGGTTCTTCTCGGAACAGAAATGGTGGGAGTAGTCTCCACTTAGCCTTAACGCTCATTTTCGTGCACTCAATATCAGTCGTGAAGTGATAAGGTAGGTTTTACTTGTATCTATTGTAGCGACCATTTTTCACATTTCGTAATCTCTGTCGGCTCTACACTTGACCTAAGGTCTAAAATAAGGCCTACACTAAGGTAGGGAAGGTGAAATCAGCAAATGTGTATGCATTCTTCGTGCTTTAAAGAGAACTTCACAACATTATCTTTGTTTTCCTTATATGACCTCTTGAAATTGAAGATATTAGTGGGGAGTCAACTTCCCCTGGCTTGGCGCGGGTTAATGGTATATATATATATATATATATATATATATATATATATATATATATGTATATGTATATATATATATACACATATGTATATGTATATATATATATATACACCTACATACATATTTATATATATATATATATATATATATATATGTCTTTATATATATATATAGTGATTTGAACAACTTCATATATATTTTCAACACTCTACAAACGTGTTCGCACTTGATCATGACCACAGATTTAAATATCGACTTTCAACAACATCCTAATATTTCCGTCCTGATGCCATTTAATCCATTCCTGCTGGTATGTTCCAGATCGGCCACAGTCGGCATCAGAGATTACACTGATAATGCTGAAAAGAAGTATAGTTCCGAGACTTTTGGCTTTCTTCAATAATCACTCACCTTTATGTCCTTTGCTCCTTTCGAGATTCTGATTCGCACGCTCTCAACATTCTTGAAAGTACATGCCAAACATGACAGCTTTCAGGTATAATTACAAGGAGGCACAAGAAACGCATAAAATAGTGAGCAAGAAATGAAAAGTAACCACTCTAGCACAGCGAGCAATCTGTACAGAGAAACAGTTCTTAGATATACAGACGACCGTAGGGGAGCGTCGGGTGAGTTGAGCTGTAGGAGTACGAGACGCCCTCAGGACCGTACGTGCCCTGGAACGTGACGGGAGCGCCGGAGGCAGCGTATATCTGAGGGTAGATACCGAGAGCGGCCGCATTGTACAGGCGGGCGTGCTCGGCCTTGGCGGCGGCCACCGCGGGGGTGTCGCTGACGGGCAGAGGAGCGCTGCGCTTCTTGCGGTAGTCAGGGGCAGCGACGGCGGCGGCGGCAGCCTCGGTGTACAGCTTGCGGAACTCCGCCTTGGCGGCCTTCACATCAGCTGTGTCCTGGACGGGGGCAGGTCCGGCCAGGCTGTACACGAACGCCTTCAGGTCGGCGACGGGAGCCACCGGCACGTTGGTGCCCTGCACACGGAAGCCGGCCGAGTCCGCCACGTAGTTGACTGTCTGGGTCAAGCCGTTGGCGTCCACGTAGCTGTAAGAGCCGACGGTGCCGCCGTAGGCGTTCTTGCTCTCCGACTTGGTGCTCAGGCCGTCACTGTAGCCATAGCTGTATTCCCCACTTCTGCTCAGGGAGTAGTGCTGAGAGCTGACACCGGCCGGGGCGGCGTAGGTTGTGTAGGGGGCAGCAGTGTTGATGGTGTAGGGGGCAGAAGTGTAGGGTAGTGTAGGGGGTAGAAACTTGTTCGTGTGTCTCGGCGGCGTACGGGTGTCACCGAAGTAACCAAGCCCGCTGTAAGTCAGTATACTGAGGCAGCCGCAACCGGCCAGAACAGCGGACGCTACCACCCTGAAAAAGACAGTGTGAGCTTTCCATGTGCAATTTAAACAATTCAAAGGCAAGAAAACAAGGTCGGAATTAAAGGAAAAACGGTGGTGCTGCAGACCTCATTGGCGAATGGGCTTTACACAGATTTCCCAAGCTATGAGAACCAAGGTTAATGATGAAACCATGCTCTTCATATAACAACTGCAAGGCAGCATCCATTTAAAGTTCGCAAGACACTTTCAAACATCTTAGGCATATTGCTACTTACTGTTTACATGCTACCATTGCACTATTACGTATCCTGATAGCGAGATTGATGAGACAAACAAATGATTTGACACTGCGTCAGAGTTGTTTCGAATGTTAAATAACTAGTAGTATTATATTTGTAGAAACCCGACCATTGGTAAAGCGAAAAATTTCAATCAATATATATATATATATATATATATATATATATATATATATATATATATGACAAACATGGCGATGCGGAGAACTCACCAGGACTTTCATGGCTGAACTCGCTGGTGTCTGTGATGCCTGTGGTCCAGCGCCGGCCAGTTATATACCGGCTGTAGCTGGTGCTGACTCGGTGGAGCCAGGCCCATGGCGACGGAAACGCTCACATGCCATTGGAGGTGTTACCCAGCCGGCCCCGGCGGTCAGCGGTGACCCCCGTACACCCGTCCACCAAGGTCGGGGAGGGGCCGTCCCCTCATGCTAATCGCAGGGAGATGATGTTTCTGCTGAGGGGATGCCTTGTTGCAAGGTAGCAACACAAGTAAATGAGATGCTTATTATTAACGGAAAATGGTAAGAGTCCCCGACTGATAAACTACTGGGCGCGGAAAGCCACTGGGCGTCCAATACGGTAGCTGTCCTTGGAGAAGTCCGTTGCTGCCGAATGTTGCCGAGCAATGTCAGTGACCGACTGGCCTCGATTAGCTTTGAAATCCCAGCAGCGTCCGTCTCGTAATTTTATGCGGGCATGAAATGCATATCACATGTGGGGTTTGTTTTGTATGCTATGTTGAAGAAGGAATTAATTGTTCGCCATGAAAAACGGCGCATGACAATCAAGCGCAAAAGCAATCACAATCTCTTGAAATAGGATGCAAACAAGCGAAAGAAAATGTCCAGCGCCGCATCACTACTAAACGAGCCTTGCTGGCTTGACCCTTGCTGGCTCATTCAGCGACGACAACGACGAAGCGATGCCCGCATTGCCTTGGTAGCAGAGCTTTCTGCCAAGAATGTTATGCGCTCCTAGGCTGCATTCACTACTAATAACGTTAAGTATCAGCTCTTCATAATTGCGAGCCGGGGAAACTCCATGAGGATACCCGTAAGCACCGCCGACCGCGTGACGGCGCATACGCGCCTCAAGTGCAACCACGGTCAGGTGCAACTACATGCTATTTATCGCCGTTGATTGGGAGATTTGACGTTTTGCCAGAGGCATCAATATACGTAATGCTGGGGGACGTGTTGTTTTAGGGTAGTGCGGACCATAAAGCCTCCCAGAAGTCGTCCACTTCACAGAATGTTACTCCTGACTTGGACGACTTGCGATCAGTGCCGCGGCTGCACCAAAGATCATGTGACTTCAGGGAGCAGAACAGACCGCATCGAGCGTTGCGGCACGTTAAGGTCTTGCCGCAGAATCTCGCCGTTGACCAGTAAGTTCACGATCGAATGGTAACATCAAAGTATCACAGTAAACACTGCTTCCCCAAATCCATCCAGTCTAGAGGCTTGGTCTAGATATGAAATAGACAGAATGTCATACACTAGTATAAAAGTATGTACGAATATAAGCCTTTTCAGCGCAGAAGGATGGTGACCGCCTTGCTTGACTACACAATGGACTGGTATGGTCCAAGTTAGCAGGTAGAGCCCTGGAAACAGCGTAGGGCGCTTCAAGCTTTGGAAAGCCCAAAAGTCATGGAGGACACCTTAACGATCGGTGGTGGCACAGCCGGTTCACATAATTGTACTTCTGAGCACATGGG